AGAATAGAATAGAATAGAATAGAATAGAATAGAATAGAATAGAATAGAATAGAATAGAATTCTTTATTGGCCAAGGGTGATTGGACACACAAGGAATTTGTCTTGGTGCAAATGCTCTCAGTGTACATAAAAGAAAAGCTACATTTGTCAAGAGTCAAGAATCATCAGGTACAACACTTAATGATAGTCATAGGGTACAAGAAGCAATCAAATCATGCTAGGAAACAGTCAATATAAATCGTAAGGATACAAGTGACAGTTACAGTCATACAGTCACAAGTGGGAGAGGATGGGTGATAAAGGATGGGTGATAAGGAATGGTGAGAAGATTAATAGTAATGCAGACTTTGTAAATAGTTGGACAGTGTTGAGGGAATTATTTGTTTAGCAGAGGGATGGCGTTCGGGGAAAAACTGTCCTTGTGTCTAGCTGTTCTGGTGTGTAGTACCCTATAGTGTCGTTTTGAGGGTAGGAGTTGAAACAGTTTATGTCTGGGTTGTGAGAGATCTATAAATATTTTCACAGCCCTCTTTTTGACTCATGCAGTATAAAGGTCCTCAAAGCACCTTTGGGACAACAATGATAGATGTCTCCTTGATTAGATTCCCCTTCTACAGTTTGGGTTACCTAAGCACTGTCACTTATCAAATGAATTCACAATTCATATGTAGGTTGGATTCCTTAATTTTTAGCGAGCATGATGATGATGGTTCCAGGTCTTCTGTCGGTTTCTTGAAGGGGTGATTTTGGCGTTACGGAGATGCCTGCTTGAAGAACCGGAAGTTGTATCCTCTATGTTAGAAGCACAGAAGATGCCACTCTGGCGTTTATTCTTTCAGCATTTGGTGATGACAATGAGAGACATCAGCAATTTACTCTTGAGCATGTTGCAAAGTAATGAAGCATCAAGCACAGACCAACATGGTAAGCCCAAGGCAGCAGATGGGAAAAAAAAAAAACTAACCAAGATCTTTTAATCCAGTGTTTTTCAACCTTGGTGTCAACTCAGCTTTGGGGAAATTTGTTTTCTTTTTGTGTTGTACAGGTCACTTTCAAGAAGTGAGGGGAGCCGAATGTCAACTCATAAAATATTTCTATGGTCTTTTTAGAGTTGCCAAAAGAAAGGGAGGGGGAAGCAGGGCGGCAGCTAGGAAATCGAAAGTGCATTCCATAAATAGTTTTCAAAGATAGTAACTAGGTGACTGAAGTTTCTGCCGTGCAAAATTCTAACTGGAGAACATAATTGATGACTCTTGGCTATGGATGTGTCCCATTGGAGAATATGAATTATGTGTTTCAGAGTTGGCTACGCCCAGGCAGTGCTGGACATGTTAACTCCCAATAAATCCTTTTGAAATTTTGGAAGTTTGGCTCGAGACTCATGATTTAATTGGGGGTAACTGCCAGAATCCTACTTGGCAGCTTTAGGATGGGTGGACTTCCAACTCCCAGAATTTCCCAGCCAGCAAAGCAAATTAAAGTCCACACATCTTAAAGTTGCCATGGTTGAGAATTCTGCTTTTTCAGCTATCTAAAGAAATAGTCAGACATCAGACAGACAGAGATTCTTGTTAATGGTAACCAATAGATCCATCATGGCACCGTTTTTCTTTAAAAAATTTTTACCATTACTTTATCAGCCAGAACAAATTTTGCATCCTTTGTAATGACACCAGTGTGGTTTAGAACATAGAATAATCGGGTTGGAAGGGACCTTGGAGGTCTTCTAGTCCAACCCTTTGCTCAGGCAGGAGATCTTATGATGGCCTTTCCCCCTCTCTTATTTTGAGAATCAGAAGTTCTGTTTAGTGAGATAGTTGTCAAAATAAAGTTCCATTAAAAAAAAATAGTTGTCTAGTGAAGTGTGATGCAACACACTACCTAACTGCAGAAATTTAATTAAAGTCTTGCATTATGTTAATCCAGGTCTCCTAGAAAATATAGATTATAAACTAACTATGGAATTAATAGAAGACAGAACTTGTAGTTCAGGGTTGAACTGTGGGGTCCTTGGTGCTCTCTGAGCTTGGTTGTTTTCTTACAGACGTCTCATTACTCCACTAGGTAACACCATCAGGGCAAATGTGGAATTCCATGTTAACAAACCATTGGCTGATTTTGTTTGGAAAGTTCCATTTGGAAGCATGAATCGGGGTTAAATAATAAGACACTGCCAGGCCAAATAGTCACGTATAACAATTGACTTGTACAGTATTAATTAGCAGAACATTTCTAACTTATGTTGATATGCAAAAGGCCACCTCAGGATTATCTTCTTGACGCCTGGCTGAAATCGATCGGCAAAGAATTATACCAACCAAATGTCTTTTTAAATTTTATTTTGTTTGGGGGCAGCTTCATCACCCTCCTTTGCAGACATGGGAAATGCCATCGGCAGCCTTATCCGGCTAGGAAAAGGCTTGGAGGAAGAGGAGGAAGATACGGTTCTTCTCTCCGAAGAACATAGCCTCATTTTGACCTGTTGTTGGGTCTCGGTTAAAGTGAGTAAGTTTGTTAATACTTGAGTTTCTTGCATGAAAGATTTAATCCAGCCTTCTGTGCTGAAAAGGGCACTTATCCTCTTTGATGGACTTTTCCAAGATTATACCAATGTCAACTGAAAAAATACTCCTCTAGACTTTTTAGCTGCCAGCAGAAAGGGGTGGGGGAAAGCAGTGCATTCCATAAATGCCTCAGATAATCGCCTTGGCAGCCCAAAGCTGTCGGCACGCAAGAATATTACTGGAGAGCATGATTGATGACTCTTGGCTATGGATGTGTCCCAGTGGAGAATATGAATTATGATACACTCAGGGAGTGGAAGGAAAACCAGGGTCAAGGGGGAAATGAATGATGTATTTTAGTGTTGGCTGCACTCAACTAATGCCAACATGGCCACGCCTAATAAATCAATTTTTTTTTACTCTGAGAGATGCGGCTAGAGACTTATGATTTGAAGGGGTGGATTTGTTGGAGCCCTGACAGCCAGCCAACACTAAAATGCATCATGACAACCACCTCATGGACTGGAGATAGGATAGCACCATGAAGGATTAGATACAGGAGTGTGCTGTTACCGGTTTGGCCCGGTTCAAGTGAACTGGTACCAAACTGGTAGCTAATTGTATGGCTGGTTCCACAAACCGGTAAATCCCACCCTTGGCTGGCCCCGCCCACCCCACCCTGCACCTCTCAGGAGTCCCCACGTGGCCCATTTTGGATCCCAGGTAAGTATAGAGCCTGTGCGGAGGCCCACAGATTACAGCACAAGACCCAGGATGTCAAAACAATAGAACTCAGAGGGTCATCACACAGCCCATTACCCAGGTCGTTACAACACAGGAGGCTGATAGACACACAGCCAATACCGCAGCTACACATGTTCTTACGAAAGAGCCAGCCAATCTGCAAACATCAACTCCATCAACCAATCAAGAAATGACAACACAGTCAACCTCCCCACCAGTATATATAGGGAGACGGCAGCTCCGATCACACTTTGCTCACACAAGCACAAAGCCGAAAGCACCAGCCTGAAGATGGCGAGTGGGACCTCATCGAAATGTTGCCAAGATACTCTCAATCTTACATGGGAAAAGACCTGAACACACCAAGACCTGCATACCTATACCCGTGAAAATCTACAAAAATAAATATGTATATATATGTATACGTATGTATATGTATTTGTTTTCTTAAGTTTTCGCGGGTACTTACATGTATGGCATTTAGCTTTGTTCGGGTATTTTCCCACATCATAGTAGTTGTGCTTTTAAAGTTGCTTTTAAAGTTGCCGAAACGTTGCTACAACTTTAAAAGCACAACTACTATGACGTGGGAAAATACCCGAACAAAGCTGAATGCCATACATGTATATGTATGTATATATATGCATGTGTGTGTGTGTGTATTCATAAACATTTTAAATACAGTGTATTGTCAGGCCATATCATTTACAGAAAAGCAAAAAATGAACAAAAAGGAATATTAACACATATACTAATAGCAATAATAATAGTGTAACAGGATAGCTTTGACTAAATTTCTCTTTATATTAGCTTATTTGTAATTCTGTTGATTATATTGGCTCGTGTATAATTATAAACCGTCTTTATATTTAATTCATACATTGCAATATTTCATTCATCTAATGTCTACCTCTCATCTCCAACCACTCGTAGAATCTCTTCCACATTAAGTCGTATTCTGTGTCTTCTTTGTCCTTTATCTTTAATGTCAATCTATCCATCTCTGCGCAGTGTAATATTTTCCGACTCGTCTGATGGAGTGTTCTCGTTTTTACTTTTAACTGTCAAGGAAATTGGGCTGCTTTTGGGAGGCCTTGCGGAGAAAGTTCTACCTCAGCCACTCTCGGCAGGATGTCAGCCTCTCCTGCCTCTTCAGGTTGTCCGCAGGGCTTCCAAGGTGTTCCAAGACATCTTGCTGAAGTGCCGGCATTGGGTAAGAGATCCCTTATGAATTGAACCAAAACAGGCTACTTTTGATCCTGGTGCATTGCCATGAATGGAATATCGAGTTTGATTCATGATTCAAGCAACAGATGGAAGCTAACCAAGGAGAGAAGCAACCTAGAACTAAGGAGGAAATTTCCCAACCGTGAGAAAAATTGACCAGTGGAACGAATGTCTTGCCTTCAGAGTTATGGGCGCTCCAACGCTGGAAGTTTTTAAGATTTATCATTTGAAATGATGTAGGTCTTTCCTGTCGGAGCAGGAGTTGGACTAGAAGACCTCCAAGGTCCCTTCCAACTCTTGTTATTCTGTTATTTATCATTTGGTAGAAGAGAATTAGACTTGGGCTGGTAGAATCTGGTTTTTAGACTTGGTTATCACTTGATGATTAAAGCTAATTTCCCGCTCTCAGCAACTTCTCCCTGAGAGGTTACCAGAATTGAGGGCTGGATTTTTTTTTTCCCCTGGGTCCATGAATCTGATCTTTGGGGGCTCAACTTTGAGAAGAACTTTGATCAATTCTCTTTTTTCTCCCCTTCTTTTGCTTTTCTGCTAGGGAGCTGTGGAAGGCTGCAGTGTGGGCTTCGCAAAGTTTTGTGCCACTCTGCTCAGTCACCCTAGCCCAAAGCTACAAAACATCCCACGGACTATGCTCACAGAGGTAGCAACTCATTTACAAAACTGCCAGCACGTATTTATTTATTTAAGAACATTTGTATGGCCGCCCACTCACTCTCGGTGACTGAGCGGATTCCAAAATAATGAACATATTACAAGCGCTCCTCCAAAGCATACAAAGATCTCAATTTATGGCAGCCATAAATTAGGGAGAGAGGAAGGGAGGGGAGGAGGGGGAGGGAGAGAGGGAGGGGGAGAGAATGAGAGAGAAAGGGAGGGGGAGAGAAAGAGAGAGAAAGAAAGAAGAAAAAGAAAGAAAGAAAAGAAAAGAAAAAAGAGGGGGGAGGGAGAGAGAGAGAGAGAAAGAGAGAGAAAGAAAGAAAAAGAAAGAGAAAGAAAGAGGAGAGGGAGAGAGAGAATGAGAGAAAGAAAGAGAGAGA